ATACATAACAAGAATCTATAAATTTAATTTGATAAACTAAAGAAAGGATTAATAAAAACAAATTCCATTATGGACATAAACGTTTATAAACAATACTATATCATTCACCTGAGCAAGACTACCCTAAACAATTCCTAATTATATCTGAAAGATGAAAAAATAAAATGGACATGTTTTCATTAATCCTTTCTTTAGTTTATCAAATTAAATTTATAGATTCTTGTTATGTATATTTTAATCTTCTGGTTTCTCTATTACAATGATGCAGGAGTTTTAAGCTATTTAATATTTGCTTGAAAAAAAAAGTATACACCTATTTTATTATTGTCGTGTCGAATAACAAGACGAGTGCAAAATAAGTTTATCAAAAGAGTATTTAAATGAATATGATTAAAAATATATACCTAAGGAAACGATTTATAATCAAATTAAATGAGTGTGGGTGTGGGTGTGGGTGTGGGTGGTGTGAGGGTGTGGGTGTGGGTGTGGGTGTGGGTAGAAAGAGATACATTATTCACTCCTACAGCACACCCGCCCACACCCACACACCCAGACCCACCCACACCCGCACACTAATACTTTTCAAAATCGAAGAATATGAGTGTGAATGTTTGACTATGGATAAATCACACTCACACTCTAATGTTAAAGAAAATAAATCAACTGCAATGTAGATAGCCTTATCATCAGATTCCAGCGGATCAGATTTGATCATTACTATGACAACCAAATTTTTTTATGACTATTGGAATATGTTTTCAAAAAAAAAGGAAGTCGCGTATATTCTAAAAAGTATGTTGGATTCTTTATTTCTCTATGCATTTTTCAGTCGGCTCATAGATATTTGAATATGATGAAGAAACCATCTATTGATAAGAACGGAATATTCAAGTTTTTTCGTCATGTGATTATAAAAAACTGTAATCTTTTTAACTATTTCTTTGGCTTTTTTGTTTTAAAAGTTCATAATAACCCGCAACGGAAACTATTGTCAAATCATATAATTAATTGTTTCGCACAAGGGTGGGTGTGGGTGTGGGTGTGTGGGTGTGGGTGTGGGTGTGGGGTATGGCTGTGGCTGTGGCTGTGTGTATGGGTATGGGTATGGGTGTGGGTGTGAGTGTGTGTGGTTGTGGCTGTGGGTGTGGGTTTCTGTGGCTGTGTGGGTACTTTTATTATCAACATCCACACCCACACTCACACTCTTCTTAACGAATCGGGACAGAAATTATCAAGCAAAAATCGGAATTTATGTGGTTTTCGGAGGTTTTATAGAAAACAATAAGATATAGTGAGATGCGTATTGCAGGCCTCAATAGACCTCGTTGAGATGCACTTATATGTATAAATGTTTTGTTCGAGCGTACTGCTGACCGAATCGGCCCAAGAATTACTTCGTTGTTCAGTTTTTACTATACGAGAAAAGTATGTATTTTGTGTTTCACTCAGTATCGGTGCCATTTACAGGTGAGTGGTTTTCGCAATCCATTGCAGCGTGTTGAATCCTACTTGAAAGACAGGATTGCGTTATTGAAAATCGCTTCTGAACGAATCGGTCTTGAAAAAACTCGAATCGCAACCTAAGATAATTTACCTTAGAATAACTTCCAAAATGCAATTCAATCCTGGAAAGTTGCAAATAAAAATAGTGTCATTTTATTTTACGAACAGTAGCAAATATTGAAGTGGTCGATGTAAATAAAGGTAAATTTAAGAAAAAAAAAACTACTGACAACAAACGAATTCAACTGAGCTTTGTCGCAGTTGGTTGTTTGAAAAAGAACGAAGACATTAATGTTTGGAGAAGAAAAAGGAGAATGAAAAGTCCTTCTAAAAACAGTGAAAACAAAGAGTTGCCATACACAATGTTCTGTAATTAGAAATGAGTGGTGAAGAAAAAGAGACGGTATTTATTCTACGCAACACATCAGTACACTAATATGAAATTGGGATATCCTGAATAATACTTGTGAAATCTAACACGAAATAACGAAAATTGCGCGGTTAAAAAAAATAAGCACTAAGGATCTCACAGATCCATGCTTCCCAGCCAGACAAAAATTTTGAAAAACGCGTTTGTTGGCGTTTTTTGTAACTTTATGGGCGTTAAAACGGCGAAAACTCCAATTTTGGAGCGTTAAAACGTATTATTTTTAAGTTCTAGAATAATAGTGCGTTTTAACGCTAAAAAACGGGAATTGTTGCCGTTTTAACGCCCATGAAGTTACAAAAAACGCCAATAAACGTGTTTTCGTGCGTTTTTTTAATGAGCGTTAATGGCTTAGAATCGCGGTTCCCGATTGTGCGTTTAAACGTGTTTTTCAAAATTTTTGGCTGACTGGGTTGTTCTTTAATGACGGATAACAATGGAAATAGAAGTAGAGATTCATTGAAAGTAGAGTATATCATGCTTCAATAATTTATAGGATCGTTTTTATTCTATACCAGTTAGAGCGACACTGTGCTATACATATCCCACCTTTCCGACTAAAGCGGTCCGATGAATACATCCCAACACAGAATTATTTATATTTCTTGACTAGTGGTCTGCGTGAAGTATCAATATTTTTACTTTGTAGATGGCTACTGCCCGTAAAACTAATGTAGTAGCAACAGGCGCTCTCAATGAAATTCGTATGATTCTACTTGGTAGAACAGGAACAGGTAAAAGCATTCTTAATTCATGCAACGATTGTATTTTTTTTCACATATTATAGGCAAAAGTGCATTTGGAAATACAATACTTGGTCAAGAAACATTTCATCATGATAATAGCCCGGACTCTGTTACTCTTGTTTGTAAACCTGGCGCTCGGGAGTTTGATGGTAAACGACTTTTTGTTGTTGATACACCCGGTTTTCTGGATACAAATATGCTTGAAGAAGAATTGAACACAGAAATATCTACATCATATCAAATGACAGCTAGGCCAGGACCACATGTTTTTTTCATTGTATTAGATCCCATGGCGAGATATACACCACAAGAATACGCAGCATTTACCTCTTTTACTAAAATATTCGGTGCGAAAGCTGTGGATCATACGATTATTATTTTTACTCAAGGCGATCGACTTTCAGAAAGTGGAAAAAACATAGAACAATATTTGAAAACTTTAAAAGGGGGATCAGAACATCCCATAAATAAGCTTATTAATCAATTTCAAGGACGTTATGTAGCAGTAAATAATCGTGGAAAGTCAGAAGAAAAAAACAGTGTGGTAAAAACTTTGATTAATATGATAAATGAGATGCTGATAAAAAATGGTGGCGAGGTATACACAAATGATGCTTTTGTGGAACTTGCTCACGAAATCGACGTTGCAGAGTCTCGAGAAATTTACAAACCATTTAATCCAGACGGATCTTTTGCTTTACTGCCACAAACAAAAGCAATAGTTATCGATGGTTATATAAAACGAATGTCTAATCGAAGGACATAATGCAAACATTGTTCCTAAAGACAATACATGATTAGTAAAAATAAATTGAAGATACAAATCAAAATCTGGGTTCTAAGTTTTCCAGAGAAAGAACGAGTGCGGATTAGGTCAGCTTTATGCCCCCAACAGGTGAGAGTTTTTTTCTATTGAATTGAACTTCGGTATAGACTCTGATTTATTTGTATAGGTTTTCTTCCAGGTAACTCAAAACTAAGCTTTATGGGACTTGTAGTCCCTCACAACAATGGCAAAATTTTATTCCTAAAGCTTAACCGCAATGTACTCTGGTTCATAGAGCAAAGCATGCCCATTACGAATTGGGGGTCGGTTTGGGTGGCCAAGAGTGTGGGTAGGGGTGACTGTGGCCGGGTGTGGGTGTGAGTGTGGGTCGCGGTGGGGTGTGGGTGTGAAAGAGTAAGCTTCTATGGTGGGTGTGGGTGCGGGTGTGGGCGTGGGTGGGGGGGTGGGGGTGGGTGTGGGTGTGGGGGCGG